GCTAGTTCTACAAATTCTCTTTCTTTTAGTATAGATTGATTTAAAGTTCATCTTGATCTTTTTTTTAATTCCTCTCCATGTCAATTTCAAAGGGTTATTGTCTGCCCATGTGCCTATTTCAATCTCAATTTCCTGTATATTCAGCCTCAATTCAGATGTCATCCAAATCATATCAATTCTTGACCAGGATTTTTGACTATTTGAATAAAAGGTATATTGTAATTTTTCTGGATTGATTTCTCTCCAAATATCTGGTATTCCAATTTCATCTGTCATATTAAAGAATGTCTTAGGTAATCTTCCTCTTCCAGTTTTCCCTATTTTACTGCTTTTATAGTCAATTGCCCCATCTACTATCGCATTAAAGTCTCCTACTAAACAAATATTTTGATATTCCATTTCTGTTATTTTTCTATGGAGGCTCTGATAGAATTCTTCTGGTTATTGTTTGGTGCATAAATTACTACTAACAGTGTTTGTTTTTAGTGTAAATATATGTCTACCATCACAATTCTTCCTTCTTCATCTGAATAGATCATTTTAGAATCTATTGTCTCTTTAATATATACAGCAATGCCTCTTTTTTTCTGATGTGCTGATGCATAGTAAAGTTTCCCAATTTTTGGGTGTTCCAACAGTTTATGGTATTGTTTTTTATGTGTGTCTCTTGCAAGCAAATTATGTCTATATTTAATTTCTGTAGTTTCCTAAAAACTATTTCTTTTTGATGGTGAGTTTAGTCCATTTACATTCACTGAAAAAATTCCATTTTCTTTCTCCATTTTCATTAGTTATATTTAGGTCTAGTCGCTCTCATAGTCCTCTACTCTCTGGCAGTTCCTTCGCTCTCTTGTTCAGATTTCTCTTTCTGTTCTCCTGTTTGTGTAGTTTCATCTTGAATTGTCTCTTCCATTTTTCTCTGTTCCATGGTCTCCTCTTATCGTTGTTGTACTTCATCTAAAACCGCTCAGTGTCATACTTTGAAGTCTTCTGCTTTCCAGCCAATACCTTGTATTATTCCAGTTAATTAGAATGCCTTCTGGGATTAGCAATCTAAAATTTATACCTTTTGCAATCAGCTTTGTGATAATGTTTTTGAGTATCTCTCACTCTCTTAGGTATCTGCTTTAACACCACAATTTCTTTATTATTGTATTGTAATGGTTCATCTCTCACTTTTCTTAGTACTTCATCTCTTGTTGTTTTCTTTATGAATCTCACATGTACTTCCCTAGGTAATCTATTTTTCCTTGCATAGCTTGAATTCATTCAAAATATTTCATCTATCTCCATTTGCATCTCTGCTCTATCTGCTTTCAAGGCTTCTTCCAGAAGCTCAATGATCACAACTGCTATATTTTCTTCTCTGTCCTCAGGGATGTTTTGAAATCTCAAGTAATGTTCCACCTTGTCCATTTCTAGAATCGCGACCGCCCCTTCTAATTTTTCATTCTTTTGAATAATATTTCCATGTTTTTATCCATATCATTTGACTTATCTTCCATTTTCTGAATTCTTTGTTCATTTTTAACAATCATTTGATGATGAACTTCAAATTATGCTTTTATAACCAAAATTCTTCACTTAATTTCTCAAAATTGCTTTGTGTCTGTTCATGGTTTCTTTGCATTGACTCTTGCATCAATTTTAGTGTGGCCTGTATTTTATTTTGGGCAGTGCTTATTTTCTCACGTTGCAACATTGTTTCAATAGATCCCTGGGTTGTTGGGCTGGGTGTTCCAACAGAGGGTGCAGAGGAAGGCTTCTTCATAAGTTTAGAAATGTTTGATGTACTCATTTTTCAACCAATAGTCTTGATATAAAATCCAAAGTGTAAAAAGGAGCTAGCCATTTTAGGCCAAATCCACCTCCTCTGGTCAAGTCGCAGATGTAAAGCATTCACTGTGAAGCATTCACTGTCTCCAAATAACTCCTGTTTAGTTATATCCAGAGTCAACAAAAAATCTTGAAAAATCTTTTCCATTGTAGACTCACACCAAGGCACTTTTTTATGCCAGGTGTTGTTCAAGGTCAAACAGTTCTAGATATTTTTTTAATGTTTAATCATGCTATAATTTCTTCTTTTGCCACTAGATGTCCTCATACACTCATTTATCAATGCCTGAATTTAAATTTTTTTTTACGAGGTTCTTCTTTTAAAATTCTTTATAGGTTATTTATCCTTAAGATTATATCTAGAAAGTTTGCACTCTGTAAATTAGATAGTCAGTCCTTCTTTGAATTAATCTGAATTCAATTTTTAAACATTATTTTAAAAATTCTCCCCTTTTGTAGTTGCTCGCCTCTTTTAGATTGCAATCTTTCTGGGGTCTTTGTTTTTTAGCTCTTCCCCATCAGGGGGTCAATGACTTGTAATCCACAAGGAAAAGGAAAGAAAACACTGGTTCACCCAGTTTCAGCACGCTGTTGACAGTCAGCTGTTTGGCGGAGCATTGAGGCTCCTCGCTTTCCTTCTGGCTGGAGATGACTGGGGCTGCCGGCTTACCCAGCAGCCTTTCCTCCGTCCTTTCAGAGGATTTCTTTAGTCCGTTCCGGTCAGCCGCCGCCTGATCCAAGCTCCTGGAGTGTCCCTCCTTTGTTGCCCCTCCAGGTCAACTTTCCGATCCATTTTGGAAATGAAGCGAAATCGGGCTGAGTAGCTGGAGCCCTGGCTTCTTCCACCTGTCCCGTCGGCTACCAAAACCAGAAGTCCCAAGAGTTCAAGTCCTGCTTAGCCATGAAAGCCAGCTGGGTGACCTTGGGCCAGTCACTCTCTCTCAGCCCAACTCACCTCACAGGGTGGTTGTGAGAAAATAGGAGCAGGAAAATGATAAGATATGTTTGCTGCCTTGAGTTATTTGTAAAAATAATAAATGGTGGGATATAAATAAAATAATAAAATATATACTAAGGGGCCTCTAGCAACATGAAATGTACTTGCTGCTATCACAACTGTCAACAAATGTGGTTCTGCATTTCTGGTTCAGCAATTCTATACTGTATCCCTTAGGAAAAGAAGAGGTGTCTGACAGGCTTTCTTTGGTGTGTCTGTATCAAATAGAGCAGAATACTGCTTTCTGTGCTTCCTTGATACATAGAGAAAATAACTTTTCTCAGTGGATGTGGCAAGTATGGGGGATGATGTCTGCTTGCCTGATCTCTGATGAAAGTGAATGGATGATGAGAACAGAATATTGATCAGGGATCTGAGAAACCAGATTTCAAAACCCATTCAACTGACTGAGTTGTTCTAGATTTTCTGGGCCTAATCAGTGTTATTGAACCCAATCTATAGACTCCCCCTGCATATATCTGTAGCTCATAGAACAGATATACGGGTAATCCTCGACTTATGACCAATCGTTTAATGATCATTTGAAATTACAGTCAAATCAGAATGGATGTTTTACAGGCCATAACGCACTTCCAGCCATTGTAAAATCTCCGTGATCACATGATCATGTTTCAGGCACCTGGCAATCTGCTCACCTTTATGACCAATTGAATTTGCTATTTTTTTTTTCAATTTCTGGTGGGTTTTGCTTTCCAATTTCAGGCTTTTTTGCCGATTTTTAGCATTTTTGGCAGCTTTCCAACAAATCCACCCATTTGGAAGAACAGGGTTTTCATTATAACCATGAAGTCGATCACAGTGATTTGCTTACTGTCTGCTGCAAAAAATAAAAATAAAAACAAGCCTGGTCACGTGGGTGTCTTACAACCATATCGATTTATGAACGTACAATACAATTTGTACAAATGAGCAAAGCTTCATTATGCATGGGGAAAGGGAAATCATTGCTTGATTTGAAAATGTCTACTTTTTCAGTGAGGTAAATTCAAATTAGAATAAAGTTTAACCAAGTTGTTAGTTTTGCCCAGATTAATCTCTGTCACTGAACTCATTTACAACTAACTTTCTCACATGCAAATTATAATCATAATATAATCCCATAATCTAAGATGGATGAATTCAATTACAGTGACAATGAGTGTACTGCTGGAAGATCTGAAAGATCAGGTTAGGGACATATCATCATGGAGAAAGTCTATGTGGTTGTTAAGAGTCAGCTTATGGCACATAATCCATCCAATTTTGGCTTGAATTCTTTTCTGAGCCTGAATTGGTAGGAGAACCTAGAATTTTCAATTTTGTATAGTAGAATATTTGATTTGTCTGTTTACTAAATTTGTATGCATGTTAGTGATAAATTAAGCTAATTATTTAGAATTATAATATTTTTGTGCCTATTTTCTATTTTGTCTTAACAATATACAGAGTAGAAATTTGTGGACATCCAGATGTTAGAATAAACTCACAATTTCTTGAACATTCACTATGCTTACTGAAGTTGTACTAATCTAGAAGAGCATTAATACTATATCTGATATATAATAAGGGCTATTAAAGACATAATGTTGATGTAAAGTTGACAGGACTGAAAACAGATATTTGTTTGTTTATTTGTTTTATTAGCTTTGAGCAGGGGCTTAGTTGCTGCAAAAGAGATTGCTCATACCTGCTCTAGAGTCTTTCACGAAAAGGATAGTTGTATTTCCTATAGTGGTGCTTTTTGGTGCTCTTACTTTCTTCCCAATATATGAAAAACAAAAAAGATCAGTAATTCATTAAAAGTTACATGCCTTATTCCATTTTTCAGGAAAAGAATGATTACTACTCTCTAAATCAACATTTCTTAATTAAGGCAATTTCCAAGTGTGTTGACTTCATATCCCAGATTTCCAGCAGGCAATTTATAAGCATTCCAGCAGTTGAAGTTCATATACTGTACCTGGAAATGGCCAAGTTGGAAAACACTGCTCTAATTTCTAGGTAGAGAGGGATACAATAATCCTAGATCATTCTTGATAGCATTGAAGAGAAAACTATTGATATTGATGTGATTACCTAAGATTTAAATGATTAAAACATTTGCAAAGATGTTTCCATTGCTAATTCTTATTTTTTTAAAACCAGTTTCTCTCCCTTTTCACTTCAGTCAAGAGATCGTAAAGTTCTTGGAGACCCTGAAGGTGCAGCTAATCATGGCAGAACAGCCAAGTACCTGAATATTGCTGCAGTGATAATAACCATCATAATCTATATTATTATCATCATTATATTAATCAGTAGTGCACTGTTCATCGTTAACATAGTCTTCGAAATAATGAGGCTTCCAGATGAAATAGAAGAATTCAGAGGGAACTAAACCATACATTCAAGATACTATTTTCAACTATGTATTCTACTTTAGCATTGCTTTAGCTTTCTGCTGCACACCTTAAGCATATCAATTAACAGCTTGATTACATTTTTGGGTATATAGAGATTATTTTTGTCACTATATCTATATCCTATTTCCATACCACAACTTATTGAAGTTATTTATTGAAAAGTAGATTATTTAACTGAGTTGATGTTTTCTTTAACCCAAGGTCTAGATTTCTGCCTTCCTAATCTTTGTTGCTCCTAGGAGTCATCCATTTTTGTTATTTATTTATTTATTTATTTATTTATTTATTTATTTATCAATTTATTATATTGCCTGTTTTAACCTAAGTGACTCTGGGAAGTTAACAAATAAAAAGGGTTACTGTATTTTAATTTCTCATGGAACATTTTATGTATTTCAGTATGTTTTCAATATCAGAGTTTTCTGTATTTCAATATGAAGTTGAGGTGAGTTCAAAACAAATAAAAACACATCTTTATATTCTATGTAGGTAGAGTTTTTGTTGGCAAAAGGCAGCTAATAAAAATATTCATTCCCTAAATGTTCATTGTTGTTTTTGTTTCATTCCTCTGTTAGAAGGAAACTAGATATTACAAGGATATTTATTCCATATCTGTACAGAGCTGCACCAATTAATAGCTGGCTGCCAGGTGTAATTGAATGTGCTAGTTGGCACCTTTAAAATCTTTCACAATTCAGAACCTGGGTATCTATGGAACCATCCTTTCCAAGGTGATATTCTTGTAAATTAGGTGATCAGCAATAAAGAAAATGCTTTAGCCTATTCATGGAATTGTTCTAATAGCAACAGATTAATTCCACTGATTAATTGTTCTCACTGTCAGGAAAATTCTCCTTAGTTCTAGGTTGGGTTCTCTCTTTGATAAATTGCCAGCTATTCTTGTTCGCCTCTCACGTGCTTTGGAGAATAGTTCGACCACTTTCCTCTCTGTGGCAGCCCCTCAAATATTGGAAGACTATCAAGTCATCCCTTGTCCTTCTCTTTGTTACAACTATTCATTGTATGTTTATCCTCCAGTCCCCTAATTATCTTTATTCTTCAGCACTTTTTCTAGAGTCTCAAAATCTCTTTTTTATTGTGGTGACCAAAACATGGACTCAATATTTCAAATGTGGTCTTACCAGGGCAGTATAAACCAATAACTGAATTTCACATGACCTTGATATTATCCTCTTGATGCAACCTAGGACTGCATTGGCTTTTTTTGGCAGTTGTGGCCCAGTGCTGGCTCATACTTGAGTGATTGTCTACTAGGACTCCTAGATCCCTCTTATAGTTATTGCTGTTGAGCCAAGTACCACCTACTGTATTATATATGTGTGTATTTGGTTTTTCTTGCCTAAGTGTAAAATCTTGTGTTTCTCACCACTGAATTGCATTTTTTTTTATGTTGAACAGTCTGCAAGTCTTTCAATATCCTTCTGAATCTTAAGCCTATCTTCTAAAGAAATCTTCTGGTTCCATGTGCCAGACACCATCCCCATTCTCCTCAGTGTGATTATTAAGTGTAAGTCATTAAGGAGAACACAAGATGTTTTGGGTAGGAAGGCCATGGGAAGCCTAGTGCAGGTCCAGGCCCACACTGCAGCACCTCTCCAGCTCACACAGGGTCTACTCTGAGCTTCCCAAAGCCGCCTCCACTTCAAGAGGTACCCCTTGTTCTGCTTCCCACTCTTTGGGGTCCCTGCAGGCCTTAGGCCTGCTTTCCCACTCTACTGGGTTTCACATCATGCGAATGTTGTGTGAATGCTGCCTTTATAGTTATGGTTTTTAGCTTAATGTATTATGGAAGCATACCCTGAAGAGAACGAGAGTTTAACCAATGGGCTGATTAACTTTCCCCTGATTTGAAATATGGTAATCTTACCCAAAACTCAGCTGGAAGTGCACCTCCAGCATTACTCATCCTGAAATAAGTATTTTAATAATCCTTTGCTTTGGCCAACTCTTTTACTTACCCTGGTATACTGTATGTTGTGATACCATTGCCCAAATCATGAAAATTCTTTATTTGCATGATGATGTGAGGCATATTGTTCCCAGGAGACACCTGTATGCAATTAGGCTGGCTAAAGTTTCATTTTAAGTGACAACTGTTTCTCCATTTTTATCACCCATCATCATGTCTGCAGAGAAATCTGATTATGGAAGATTTTAAGACATTGTTATTGAACATGTCCATGTAAGCTTTACCTGGCTTTGTAAACCCATTATGAAGTATTTGGAAACTGAAGTACCCTAGAGCCCTGCTTGAGCAGACAAAGCAACTTCATCTAAAAAAGGGAGATAAAACCAATAAGCCACAAATAGGATGAAAGTTCCCTCGTACCAATTTTTGTCCAACAAGGCAAAATTGTGGTGGGATGCTTTCTAAACTGCATTTTTTCTTGTTGTCCTTTCCAAACCCTTAATCGTCACTGAAACCCTATCAGTATTCTTTCACAATATAGTTACCTGTACTATTGTAAGCTGCTTTGAGATTGCTGTAATGATGGCAACTCACTTGTCAAAAATGAAACACCACAATGTTTTAGGTGACTTACCAGCATTCACCAACACCCAACAATAACTATTCTGTCTTGCTGAGTTACAAAGAAATTGAATAAACAAAAATACAAGAAATATGTGACAGTGCACCACCCAGAGCTTAAGGTGGATCCTTACCATTTGTATCAGCATATAATCTGTCATCTTCAGAATTGTGATCGGTGGTGACATGAAAGAGAGAGCAGCTTGCAAAATGCAATAGGAATACGGCATGCCTTCCAATCACTGCACTGGGTGGTTGTTTGCACAGTGAAGCTTATTTTCAAGGTGCAAGCAGTTTCCAAAATGAGTGACTATCAACATCGTAGTCAGTTTTTGTGTTCATGTGAACAAGTGTGTTGAATCTCAACAGCTACATAAGGAATGTCAATCAAATAACTTCCCTAAATTCTTAACAGGCCATATGAATTTAACACCAGTAGTTTTCAGCATTGCTCCCTCCAAAGCTAAACATGGAAATGCCCTCAGTGAGGAGAATTTATTAAAAACATCTTCTAAAATGTGCATCCTTTTATTTATTAAGCATATTTCTGATTTACTAGTCAGCAGAAATTCCATTAACGACAGTGATGACAATGATTCCCAATAAAGTGCATTCAAAAAATGTTCAGATCCCCTTCACTTTTGTCAATTTTGTTATGCTGCATCCTGATTCTACCGTTGTTGAAATTCATGTTTTTCTCAAATTGAAGGATTAGAGCAGTGGTTCTCAACCTTTTTAATGCCGCGATCCCCAATTGGTCATAAGTCAAGGACTAAACCGGTTGCAAGTCGAGGACTAAACCAGTCGTAAGTCGAGGACTTTCCCTGCCCAGGAGCGCCGCGCATGCGTGGTGCCGCCTCCTGCGCCGGCCGAGACGTAGCTGGCAAGCGGCAGAGGCAGAGCAGGCCGACCACCGGCTGGGCCACCAGCTGGCCCAGCCCAAGGGAGGTAAGGCACCCGCCGGAAAAGGGGGAAAATGGCGGACAGCCTTGCTTGGCGACCCCCGTGAAATGGTCGATCAACCCCAAATGGGGTCCTGACCCATAGGTTGAGAACCGCTGGATTAGAGGTTCAGTTAGCAGAGTTCCAATTTACCACTTGAACTCAAGCGTTTGTCAGTCTGAAGTCTCAACTTGAGGATTTAGAAACAAATTATATGCAGAATGAAAAGTGCCATTGCAAACAAGAAATTGTGAAAGTTGGAACCGAATACCAAAACTTTTAATACCCTTAAAAGTCTAGCAATGGTTTCACTCACAATTTTTTCTTCTACATACTTTTGTGAGACATTATTCTCTGTATTAAATAACATTAAAATGGACAAAAGACACCAATTGACAGATGAAGTTAGTCCTGCTTGCTTAGGTTTTGAGGGCAAAGCCACATAGACTTTCTTTTATTTTTTATATTTTCCCATAACCTTATAATGTAGAATGGAACACAGAAACTTTTTGTCCTAGCAACCAGATCTCTGTAAGTTTTTAACCACAGAGTAAAGGGCTTTCTCAGGCTGAATAACGAAAGATTATTCAAGTATATGTATTGTTTCAACTGACTGCAATCTTTTCGCAAGGGATTCTATATGATTGTATATCACTTTTTCCCACGCTAACTCCCCCCTTTTAATACAATGGTTATTTCAATGTCATGCTTATGTTTAACTAACAGTCCATATCTTTGATGTAACTGGGCAGTATAGTTTCTTCTATCCAATCAACTGTTCTTTTGCTAGGCTGCATTAACAGAGGGATAGAATCAAGATCACACGAAGTATTAATACCACTCTACAATGCCTTGGTAAGGCCACACTTGGAATATTGCATCCAGTTTTGGTCACCACGATGTAAAAAAAATGTTGAGACTCTAGAAAGAGTACAGAGAAGAGCAACAAAGATGATTAGTGGACTGGAGGCTAAAATATATAAGGAAAGGTTGATGGAATTGGGTATGTCTAGTTTAATGAAGAGAAGGACAAGGGGGGACACGATAGCAGTGTTCCAATATCTCAGGGGCTGCCACAAAGAAGAGCGAGTCAAGCTATTTTCCAAAGCGCCTGAAGGCAGGACAAGAAGCAACAGATGGAAACTAACCAAAGAAAGAAGAAACCTAGAACTAAGGAGAAACTTCCTGACAGTTAGAACAATTAACCAGTGGAACAACCTGCCTCCAGAAAGAGTGAATGTTCCAACACCGGAAGTTTTTAAGAAGAAGCTGGACAGCCATTTGTTCGAAATGGTATAGGGTTACCTGCCTGAGCAGGGGGTTGGACTTGATGACCTCCAAGATCCCTTCCAACTTTATTATTATTATTATTATTGATCATCGCACAGTCAGCCAGATGTTCAGACTGGATTTGGCATTTTGTCTACCTATCGAGTCCTTACCCAGGACCTGGGATAGGCAGATGTGGATGTTTGATGGTATTACAGATATCGTCGCAGGATGGAAGCAGTTTCTAATAAGGCTGCCTTTTGCAATTGACTAATAGCGAATTTGTCAATGCCAATGGTGTTCAAGTGGTGCTCCAGTTGTTTTGGGATTGCACCCAAGGCGCCTATGACTATGGGTACTACCCTTGCTTGCTTTTGCCACAGTCTTTCTATTTCTATTTGTAGGTCTTTGTATTTTGTTATCTTCTCCAGTTCTTTCTCTTCTATTCTGCTATCTCCAGGCACTGCCACATCCACTATCCAGACTTTTTTGTCTTTCTTATCGACAATTGTTAAGTCTGGAGTGTTATGTTGCAGGTGCTTGTCTGTTTGAATTCTGAAGTCCCAGAGCAGTTAATTTTATCATTTTCTATGACTTTCTCTATTTTATGATCCCACCAGTTTTTGCTTACAGGCAAATGATATTTTTTGCAGATCTTCCAATGCACCATTGTTGCTAC